TTTCTCTCTCTCTCTCTCTCTCTCTCTCTCTCTCTCTCTCTTTGTCGAGTCTTGTATGTGCGCGCACACACACAATTTATGTGCACGCATTATTTCGATGCATGGCTATTCATAGAGTCATTTCCTGAACTTCTCATGGTATGTTAAATTATGCATATGTCCCGTGGTAAAAATAAGAACAAAAACGAAAAAGCCGAGAGTGAAATAGAATGCAATATCAACTTATCGGCGAAAAAGAGAACCGACGACCGTCAAGAGAGCGAGAGAATTGACGGTTCATTTGTCCAGGAAAGAAAACCGACAACGATGACGACGGGCTTTAATTAGGAAAGAAAGCCAGGGTAAAATTGCGTGGTTTTCCATCGTCTGTATGTTTATGATGGTGTCAATGATTGCGCTTTTGCGATTTCGTTGTGGAAAAAAAAGACCATTTCCTACCCTTCGTTAATATAATGTGAAAGCGAACAACCGCGAAAAGTAATAATGTATAGAAATCGAAGAGAAACGACAGCTTTAAATGAATGGAATAGAGAACAGGAAAAAAATGAAGCGCAATAAATTACAATTTACTCTTTTCTTTGAATAAATTTGTTCTTTTTTTCATTCTCTCTATTCGTGTTTCGTTTTACGTTTGATGGAAAACGATGACAGGAAAAGTCAGCAAAAGAGAGGAAAACGAAATTTGAGCAAAGTGACAGAATAGCACCACCGCAGTCAGCGCAAACAGTGTCACGCAGATTCATCAAGAAAAACAGACGAAAATAAAAAAAAAACACTCACACACATTTTTTATAAGAAAAAGATGTTTTTCTTCGTGTGTTTGGTTGTTATTTCTTTTTATACAATTCAGAACATTTTCTTTCTTCTTTCTTGTGTTGAGAGTCAGGCAGAGAAAAATACTTTCTTATATTGTTTATCTATGAAACGTTCATGCATGTTGAAACATTCGGTTAAGTGCTTCGGAAAAAGGGAGTAGGCCAAATGTGATATTGTATAGCAGCATACGTACGTTTGTATAATATACACATAATCAACGAGAGACACAGCCGAAAACCATCCAACATACACACACACGGAGAGCGAGAAGGAAAAAAATGCGAAGGAAAAATAGAAATGCAGACCGATGAAACGAACGTTAAAGCATACAAATAGAGGTATTTAGTTTTCGGTGGTGCTCTTTTTCAATGGTTTGTATTTTCATTTTTACGTGTGTGTTCGTTTAAAAAAAACTCAAGTTTTTTTTTTCTTCGAAATTCTGTGTGCAGTTAAAAACCGACTGCGTAACACAATCTCCTTCTGCCTCATGGCATGTTGTGCAAGCAGCTTGAAGAAGAGTGAATGTACACATACTGTCGATACGAAAATTATGTTGAAGGATATAGCCAAATAAGCCATAAAGTGGATATGCCGTTTAGATAGATTATTGAAAAATTATATTTTCTATGGTTTCGGATGATGTGTTGTTTGTTTAGTTAAGCATTTTTCTCATTTATTTCATTTTTTTCGTTTGCCTTTTTCCCCCGCATGCTCTTATTCTCTCTCTTCTCTATCTCTCCGTTTCTCGTTTATCTATCTATCTATTTATCTCTCGACCATTGCACTCCAGAGTCATTTGCTTGCTATCGATTCGTTTCGGCTTCACATTTGTTTCAATTTTTTTTTCCGTCTTAAAAATTCTTGTGCCTCTTGACAAGGCGATAACGAAAATGTTGTATTTAAATTTATGTGCCACGTCTGGGTTGAATTGGTTTTATTTACGCACATTTGTAACCGCATGAAGAATGAATATAAATAAATGTTGTTTCCCAAAGTGAGATTGTGACGTACCCGCAAAATAGTGAACGCAGCCAGTGTGTAAATGTAAACAATTTTTTGTTGTTCGTGCAGACGAAAAACGAATAAAACAACAACAACAGAATTCATGCATTTTAATGCTATTCGAACGATAATCATGTATGCAATTATCGAAGATTATGTGCGCTGCTAGCAATGGTTGCAATGCCTGTAGATTCATACATTCGCTTACTGAATCTCGCCCGCTCGATGGCTCACACAGAACGGAGCCTCCAAAATCTCGAATATATATATATATATATATATATATATATAAAAATATATAAATGAATTGGACGACGATGGCATGTATAGCAATTGCATTGCGAATACAGATCGGTGCAAGCAAGACTGAGCGAATTAGATAGAGAAAGAAATATAGCTATGAAACCAACAAGCCCGAAACTGAAAACGCAACAAGAGTGAACATGAACAAAAAAGACTCTGTTTCAATACACAAACACAAAATATCATATGAACATGAAAAACAAAGGAATTGAAAATAGAAGATGAAAACATTTCTAATGTATACAATCATCATCGCACATATTCATTTAAAAATCAACAACGCACAAACAGTAAATTCCTTTTACAATCGATGAGAATTGAAATAAAATAAAAAGGGAAAATTGAAACAAACAGACCCATACACAGACTTACATTTACACATATTTTAACCGCCGATGAGCGAACGAATGATTGAAAAATAAAATAAAAATGTTAAAAGAGAATGAAAATAAGAAACAATAAACGCATCAGTGGCGGCAGCAGCGGTGGTGGCGGCGGCGGCGTTTAAAGAGAGCGCACGTCTTTCAATACCGCCTATGAAGATATGCATGTCTCTTCGATCATTCACTTTGCTTCAAATCGCATTCATAATGGCCTATTATTTTAATAGTTACGTTGATTCACATTAATCGATCGTAAATGAAATTCAACCGAATGGATGATTGCAACACATAGAGCAGCAGCAGCAGCGGCAGCAAAAACAATCGAAAAACTATATGATTCGGAATGCATAGAGATTGCACAAAGCCTCGCTTCGTGTATTGCCTTTCTGTATGGCTATGGAATTGTGTGATGTGCTGTGTTGTATATGTTGCACAAATCAATTGCATATTTTTGTTGAATCGCTAAGAATGTTGCCCGTGCTGCTGTTGCTCTGTTGCTGCGGCTGCTATTGCCGCCTCATTGAAAAACCCGAATTCCAAGATTGAACCAATGAGTGCATCAATATTGGCTTATTTGTCAACTTGATTCGTTAGCCAGTTTCGAGTTGCGACTTAAATCGTTTTTTTCTGCTACTATATCTACTCTGTGTTTTGAATGTTTTTTTTCTCTATATAAACATATACTAGTCACTCGCTCGCGCCCCATTCCATGACAACTCTTCCAGATGACTAAATCAAATAATGTGTTTTCTTTCAAATATGATCTTTGCAAGTCGAATCTCTCCGTCTCGGTTTTGCTATTCGATTGATTAAATATTTGGTTTTCATGCTTATTTTGTGTGTATATCTTAGTATTTATTTCGGTTTTTTTATATATTTTTCTGGGTTCCGTAACCGTTTTTTTTCTTTCCATTCTGTTTACGTTGAACTAAGAGAGATCTCAGGTCAAACAAGAGACGGTGGAAATTGATAGAAAAAAAAATGTAATACGCTGAACGTTTATAAAGTCACACTCGAAAAATACTTGAACCAAAGCAATGAACCAAATCCATTGAAATACAAACGATACCAAACTGATTGTTTTTTTTCGCCTGTTGTTTTGTATCTACTTGCTATTTTTTCTCTTTATCTCTTCTCTCGACTTTGCATCATGATTCACATTCAAATGGTTGACGACGATGATGGTGATGAATTAAACATGCAACGGTACCCACAACAATCATACACCATATACTCAACGGTATCCATCTCTTATTCTTTTGCTCGCTCTGTCTATCTCTGTCTGTCTGTCTCTCTCTCTGTTTGTTTCAATCAATAGGAGGATATTCATTTTCCGAATGGCGTTTTGCCATTTTCCGAATTCGAGTCACATACAGGGAAAACGTTGCAAACATACTCACTACTGATTTAATGAACTGTCGACTCGCTCTCTGTCTCTCTATCAAAATAATATGCAAATATACAGAGAGTACAATAGCTAAATTGCTTAATACGGAGTGAACGACACAACAACAATCAATTTCGGTTAAACTTACGACTGTAGAAAGATAGGAGAAAATCTTACAGTCTCCCCCTGTTTATATTCCTGCAAAATTGCACCGACTTACGTTCGTTAAATTATGGATAGATGGACGGACAACCAAATGGACGGAACAGGATTTTCGAGTATATTGCTATTTGGTTCGGCGAAAATAATAACAACAACAACAACAACCACACTATTTGGTATTTATAATATAAATCAAACAATGAATGATTACAATTTCATATTTCATTGATGCAAATAAATCCAAAGCAATATAAATCAGTGCACGATTTAAATCGATATGGCTTCTTAGCATTTTGCATTATCATATTATATTATTCGCTTTCTATCGTTCTTTCATTCTTTCTTTCTCTATCTATCTGTCTCTCTGTTTCATCGTCTACAACAGAAAATGATAGTTCAACTGCCGATTCTATAAAAATTATAGATACCGAATCCATACAGCAAAAAAGCACAAAAGGACCATCCGCAAAAATTCAATCGATATGCTCAAAATACACACTGTACTATACTTTACGATTTGTTTTCTTCAATAAAATTCGCTACGGTATTTTTAGAGGCCTTCTTGGGTTTCATGGGCTTGCTCAAAACAAAACAAAACAACTACAGCAAAAAAAAAATGGTTAAAAATCAAGCACAAACTAGAAAATTCAAATCACGACGGTCTTACATTTTCTTTATATCGAAATTTCTTCTTTCTTTTGGATTGGTTGCGGCTGTCGAAGTAGTTTCACTCGAATAAGAAACATTTTTTCTTCTTCTACCATTTCTAGCATAGCAAGATGTCAAGATTTGAAGTGAAGAGCAAAAAATAAATCTACATAATATTCTGTGGTCGATTCTCTCAATCGCAATATTCAACCCATAACAAAAATTGAAGGAAGTAGAATCAATATTGTGTAATTGATTAAATTTGGGTATTTGGTCAGAGATTTATGCACATCACTTACTTTATGTTTGCTTCAAACTATTTATAATGTTCCATTTTCTATACACAAAGATCGTTCGTCTTCTTCTTCAACTTCTAGTGATTCGTTCTTATTATTTTTTTTTCTTCTTCATACAATAGCCTCCGTTCACTGGCTCTGTGTCGATACTCTTTCTCTCACTTCTCTTGTCTTCATACACATATCACAAAAATTCTATTTAATATAGTTTATTTTCTGTAAATTTGAATGAAAATTCACACTGTACACAAGCACTAAATGCACTGTTTTTCAATTGATTTGAATGGCACATAATTATGCCATCTTGATTTAATTTACAATTTTTATTCAACGAAACAACACACACTAAAAAAAAGACACTCGAACTCACTGTCTCTCAGCACTCTCTGTGTTGTATTGCAGAGTCGACGATATTCGAATAGGTACTATGTTGGCTGTTTTGAAAATGGACACTCACTGCTGATGTGTGTTGTACATTGACTGTGGCGGCCATTTTAAAATTGGATATATATATTAGGAATGGTATTATTTCTCTTTTTTTCTCATTTGCCCAAAAACCAAATACACACACACATACATACATCCATACATATATCGTACACATACAACTGATTTTCCATGTTGCTCTTGTGTATGTATATGCGCGATTGAACAACAGCAGTATCATCCGAACAACGGTAACACTGTATTCGTGAGTTGTTTTTCCTTTCGCATTCATCAACGATTCTACTTCGGCTCAATCAGTACCACTGAAGTGAATTGGTTGTGTATTTCATGTGTAGATGATTACGGTCGTATTGATGTAGTGGTGCAGCATACTGTCGATATGGTTCAAATAACAAGCGAACGATGCACTGTAGAATGTAAAAAAAAAAAACATTGAAGAAAAATGTTGTGCGTGCGCTCTGTGCACAATAGCATACACACATACATTCACACCCAAAGCGCTCATTCACAAACCTTTCGGATATCGAACTCGAACGAAACCAAGCAAAAAAAAAAGAAGACGAAAACATATACAAATTTCAGAAAAGAAAATTCTATTTGTGTGTGCAATTCGGTCCTTCATCTTTTGAATCAAATGGCGCCGTACACTACAGAGACTAACTTAAAGCGAAACTAATTTTGAATAAAATTCTCTCCGCTAATTATAAACAACAAATTGCATGAATGTCAGGCATTTAAAAATTGAACCCTCTTTTGATAATCGCGTATGAATTACATCCCAAGGGGAATCAATGTGTAAATGGCAATGCTGAAATGTTTACATATGTCATAATTGTTATTATATTGAAGTGAACAGATGCGGCGTTCAGTCTCTGATGTTCGCACCGTGTTTTCAATGATCAACTATATTGGATTTATAGTCACTTCGTGCACGGCCATATGTGTGTATGCGCTCTTGATGAATGTATGTATGCGTCTGTATGCGCATAAAATACTCACTTCAATTTCAACTAGAGACGGTCTTAAATCGCATTCTTTATGCTTTGTGGCTTAACGGCTATGCTATAATCACGATTTTTCATGGCATGCTAGGTGCATATACTTACATACAATATATGTATATGAAAATGAAAGAGCAAAAACATTGCATTGTAGGAGTGTGAGCGCCGCATATAAACGCATTTTTTCCCATCATCCATCATCCATTCTGACATTTTATGGGCACGGCTGCTGCACAAATTTTTTTTCGCTCCTTCTTCTCCTTTCCTTTTTGATGTTTATATTAATAATTTTTTTGCATTTTTTCTTCTTCGAATTCGTACATTCGAATCAACCCTAAAAAAATTAATCATCTTTGCCAAAGAAAAAATTCAGCAGTTCCGAACTTCGGAACGGATACGAAATAAAAAACTAAAATTTAAAATTAATGATCATTAAAATTTCATCATTTAAAATTCGAGGAACAAAATAAAATAATAATAAACAAATCTCAAGCGAAACATTTCGAATGAACATATTATTAAATATTTAAAAATTAATATTTTTAATTTTTCCATTAAAAAAAATTAATTTAAAAAAAAATAATGAACTAATTTTTATTTCCCGTGCGATTTAAAAGTCGAACGGAGAAAATTTGCCCGGGAAAATTTGAAAATACAATAATTTCGAAAACTGTTCTAAACATTGTGCGTGTAGACGAAACCGTTTACTTCACACTGTTATATATGTTTTGGGCACGGCCTTTCGTTCGTTGTATATTTTTTTGTTTGACAGTAAGTGAGAATTTTATTTTGTTGACGTATGATCAACGTTGAACCGAAACCGTTGCGTTTTAAACGTAGTTTTCAATCGGCACAAATAGAGGGCTATTCGACATATAATGTCATTTTAGTTCGATCGAATGACTGTTGTTGTTATGATTTTTGTTTCATATTTTGTTCATTTGTGTGCTTGCACTTGATATATGTGTTCATTTACGTACACACAATTTCTGTACAGTACGCATTAGTATTCCACACTACATTTGCATTGCACAATACAAACTTCGAAACGATAAAAAAACAAGAAATAAAAATAAATAAATCCACAAACATGTACATGTTTTGGTAGAATCGCTCACAATATGAAACGATACAATTGCTCAGCCTCAATATTAAGCGATTAGTGAGCAAAAAAAATTAATAATAAATAAATTTCTGTTCATTCATTCGTCAGTTTTGTGCTATCATTTTCACTCAGTTATTGTATATTTCTGGTTCCAACATGACAGTCGACCGTCGAAGTGAAATTGTGTGAGAAAAGTCAAATAAATTTCGTCGCAAAACGAGTTAAATTAACAAAACAAAAAAAAACCGATTACAACAGAGTGTGAAAATGTTATGGAGAATGGTTTGAAAGAGTGAAAAATGAATCGTGATGACGATAAGTAAAAGAGACGTGATCTGAAGGGCATCAAAGAAAAGAGAAAACTCTGCGGTTTTGTGAGCAAGTGCATTTTCGCCGAAAAAATGTGAGAAAAATAAAACGAAGAAGAAATGACTTTGTCTCAGTTATTGTAGCTATAAACATCACAATTTTGACAACGCATTCGGAAACAAAAACAAAACATGAAACGAAACACAAGCGACAATAATCAAAAAAAAAAAAAATTAAGCGCTGATAAATTCAAGTGAAAAAAAGAACCCCCCAAAGAAAATGTCGTTGCAAAATATTTTATTCTATAAATACAATTATCACGAGTTGTTTTGAGCCAACGTCGATTCGCACGGATTTCAGGAGAAAAAAAACTGTCCGCTGATTATTTTTCTCTTTCAGAAGACAAAAACAACAACAAAAATAGAACATTACATTCAGTTTTGAACATTAATTCGATATTATACCCTTTTTTATTATTATTATCATATACACGTTGAACAACATTCATTTCGGCACGCACACACAGTGTGTTGTATTAAGAGTTTAACTGCAAACTTTGGCTCAAATTTTGACCACGAACTTAGTAACAAACGTACTTGAAACACATATACGCATTTTATTTGGCTTTGCCGTTGGGAGAGAGCTCAATTTCTCTGTTTTGCCAAATTCTCCATTGATTGTGTCATAACTGTCTGGAGCCCATGATGTGCTGTGAATTAATGACAATAAGAATAAATGAAAAAAACGACAAATAAATACATCCATGCGAAATTGAAATACGTGCGTGAGAGTGAGAGAGTTCGGTGAAACGAAAGAGGCAAAAAGATACATAATAAATATCAAGGCAAGTATGTATGGTCACATGTGATCTCAATGAAATTGATATTCGATCAGTTTTGCGTATTAGCAAATGTATTGTTATTAAATGGTTGTTTGGTGTGTTCGAGTTACTTAAGCATCTTAATTCGCTGTGCATGATGGGCAAAATGTCAATGAATATAATATGGTATATATTTTTTTTTGTTCAATTGTTATTGTATGGAATGGCCCAAAGCGATTGAGCATAGACAAAATTTCGTCGACGATTGTGTGGAATTGTTTGTTTTTATAAATTACATTTTTCTTTATATTTATATATGTGCAGCCGTAGGCCCAGAGTGTTATCTATTACATTACATTGAATTAAAACAACAAATTAATAAAGAAGACCGCAAACATACCGCAGTATTGAAAAAATAAAAAAATCACAACGAACTGTCTTTTTTATCATCATCGGTGTAGGTATCTGTTATTTGAAGGACACAATTTGTCACATACATATATACCAAAGTTGAATTGCAAGCACATGCGAAATTCGAAAGAGCCAAACTTATTAATCAATTTAAAAAGAATACTGCATCAAAATGGGCAACGGCCAATATAAGCACGGCAATCAACGGCATAAATCACATCCAAATATCGCCGCAAACAATCGCAAAGCATCAACGAGTAAGTTTTTACACTTTCCAATTCCAAATGTGATTTGCATTTTTTTCGTACACGTTGAGTGTTGTTGTTTATTTTAATTGTGCTGTTGTCATAAAAAACAAACAAACTTTATGCAATCCATTATTTTTAACAAACAAATGAAAAAAGTTGTTAATTGCGTTGTTTACTAAACGGTTTCGTTTGTGCTATACACAGGTACAACGTCGAGTTTACATGAAAAAAATGCAACGAATACACCGCGCGATGGTATGTCACGCACAGCGTCCGGCAGCGATATCAATGAGAAAACCTACTCATTGTTTTTTCCATTAGAAAAATTGTCAAAAGTAATACAATATTGATCACATTTCATGAAGAAAAAAAAAAACGTTACCATTTTCATTACATACGAAGTTATTAATAGTATATGGGATTTTTTTTCTTCCGCTATTTTTTTTATCATTCCATATAGATTTTGCATCATAAAACTCATCAAGAATGCGGTGTCAATGGGATTACACAAGAGATATTTGTGGTATGTATTGAATTTATGTGAAATTAATGCGTTTCTGTGCAAACAATAGTTATATTTTTCTCTCTATCATTTGCAGAAATATGTGTTTCCACAGTATCCGGATTTGGGTGAGCGCATTTTTCGTAAAATGCATAAATTGGCAAAGGCCAAAACCAAGCATCTTGGTGTGACGGCATTTCGACAACAATGCGAAATGTACTTAAGCGTATTGGATGATGCTCTAATTCATGAGCATTATGTAAAAATGTTCTTTGCAAATGGCAGCAATGCAACAACAAAGGACGGTGGACAACAATCACAGCAACCATTGAGCGATGAAGAATTATTGCTCATCAATACAAATGGTTTGACCGATTTGCTGCTGATTTGCTTTCGTATTGGTGTGGCCAACTATATATCATCGGCTGGCAAAAGTGATGTTGCTGGCACAACCACCATTTCGGCAGATACATTTTGTCCACATGTAAATTTGAATAATAATAATCATTAATTTTTTTTTCATTCGATTTGACCATTCTACGCTTTTCTCTCTTGTATATTGTAGATAAAGCGCACAATTACCTCGGTCACACAATCATGTTTCTTCACAAAAGATACGCTAAGCGTTGGCTTTGTTTGTCGTTGGCTGGAAAAGAATTTACCAAATTTAATAATGCCATTGCATCGCTTTTGTGTGCATACGCTAACAACGGTGTATCGAACAATTGAAGAGGTCGAAAAATCGGCCACCACATCACACAGTCAACAATCGACCGGAACAAATCAAATGAATCCATTATTATTGGCATTAAATCAAGAGCTACGTCAATTGAATGAAGCGGCTATTGAACAGAGAACATCGGAAATTATCACCGGTAATACATTACCGGTGAATACCGGTGGTCTTGGTAAATTGATGTCATTATCACAATCATGGCTACTGGCCGCTGCATTACCAAATGTCTTTACACGGCTTCAAGACCGCAAAGTACCGTCCACACCACAGCCACGCAACGACAAATTGGATACATCCGAAGCTTCGATGGCATCAATTGATGCAGCAGCCACACCATCAATTTCGCATTTAATGTCAACAATTCCAACGCATTGGTCCCTTTTGTATGATTCACAACAACATGGTAAATTTACGAGTGAATAATTAAGCAATTATAATGTTTAAGATTTCACTGATTTTATGCCACTTGACGTTGTTTAAAGGTGTCGGTTCAAATCGTTTCCTGCACCATGTGATTGGATACAAAGGACCCACACTTGTTCTGTTACACTCTGAAACCGATGAAATATTCTGCTTAGCATCGCCATCTGAATGGCGTGAAACGCATTTGTATACTGGTACCGATGATTGCCATATTATTCAACTATTACCAAAGTAATGTCTCTTAAGTGCCTTTTGAAAAAAAGAAATCATATGATTCAAAACAATGTTTTCTTTTTACAATTCGTAGGTTTCAAATTTTAGAAAAAGGACCGAAATTACTGTACTTGAATACATGCATTCGGGGCTATCCAAAGGGCTTAAGAGCTGGCCCTGATCCGAGAAAACCACTCATTTCAGTCGATGAACACTTTGAAAAAATTGAATATCGTAGTGTTCCAAATGTGCTATTTGCAATTGAAGTAAGTCGCAAACAAAGCAAATGTTATTCATTTTTGAAAATTGTTTTTTTTTTTCAACTACATTGAATTTATTTGAAGGTGTACGGTTGTGGTGATCGTCAAATTCGCGATATTCAACTCGATATAAAGAAGTGGCAAGTGACGGAGGCTGAACGACAACGCACAGTTAAATTAACATCGGCCGATTGGATTGATCATCCGGATCGATATTTGCTCGAGTTGGGCGGACGACCTCAGTATAATAATGCTTAAAAAAAACAACTACTTACATTTTATTCTTTTGCGTTAAGACTTAAGCGTGTTCGATTACAGGCATTCACTTTCAAGTGAACACAAAAGATTTACTTATCATTTGAATTCTTTATTTTAATAAAATTCATATTATTATTAATATTTTTTTCTTTCTCTTTGGTCCCCTTTTCTTTTTATTTACATAATATCGCTTTTGCTTTTTTCGAAATACACATATTCATGTACTTATTTTAATGAATCTTGGATGTTTTTTTATCGTTTTGGTTATTGCTATAGATGAATTGACTTTCAGAATAGAAGTGCCTTTTAAATTACAATATATGTTTGTAACAGGGAGGAAAGAAAAAGAAGCCTTTAAATTAATTGTTACGGGAGACGGCAGCCAAATCTTTTCAAATAGTGTTCAACGATAGAACAAACACATGGCATTTTCAAGCAAAAAGCTTGTGTTTTTTCCTTAATTTGGCTTCAAAACGGAAGATAATTGCAAAATATTATTTATTCTAAAACGTTGAGCAATAAAAATTGGAATTTAATCCAAATTCATTGTGTCGTTTACATTTTTTAAAGAAGGGGTGCGTTAATTGTGATTTAATGGAAATTATAATTTTAAATAAAATTACATCATTTTTTCAAATAGAAAGAAGGGATATTATAATAAATAAAATCATTCGTAAAAAGATATAATATATAATTATTGATAAAAATATAGCAAACTAAAATCTAATGGATTCGAAGCATTCAGTATATATGATCTAAGGTTGCAATAAACTTACAACAGAGGGCACTACTTAACTGAGTTGAATCATATGGCAAGGAATATTTATTGAGAACAATCAATCATCTCTTTAAAACTTTCTGATCATTTCGTTGTACTCATTCAGAAAAACGGCCATATTATTAAAAATCGCAACATTGAATTTTTGATGTCGGTAAAGTGTCAATATTGTGTGCGTGTACGCGCATACAACGAAATCATTGAGATGAAGAAGTATGATGAAGTAGATGCGGCTCATACAAAAATAGAATTGTTTTGAAGTCAACGAAAGGCGAACAAAATCGAAATGAGTCGATGTGAAGATGACCAAAGCCGCATAAGATATACACCTATATGTTGGCAATAAAATTCGTCACTGACACCGAATGCAAACTTAGTTATATTACGTAATCGTTTTGAGTTAGGGATGTAATAATTTTTTGATGTTTTTGCATCTGAATTGATTTGAATGCACAAAAACATTTGACGAAAACACAAAACAAGTTCCAAATAGATTAGAAATTTAAATATGACCATTGCAATATGTCATGTTTTCAAATAATCCGCGTTGTTTGCATGTGTATCTGCAAATTTTTCCTCATAAAAAGTATGACATGAACTAATACGGAAAAAGGATCATCGTGTGCAGAGCAACGGAATGAGGCTTAAATAAAGCAACAATTTGGTGTTCAATTTACACAAATGTATATGTCATACGTATACATCGGGCACGAATATTGTAAACATACATCGTAGTTGATCTTTCTTGAGCACCACTAAACGAACGATTGAGTATTGACAGCTAACTCTCTCACATAATTACGTTTCGCATATGTGATAACAGTTCTCTTCTCTCAAGTAGAAATGTCTCATACATTTAGAAAAAGAATAGGATTTAAATGTGTGTGTGTGTGCGTTCAGCGCTCAAATACCAATAACTTTCACTCCGAACGAGTTATGGGTCTCTCATACATATGCACGTGTATAACCATCTCAACAGTGAAATATGAAAATCTTTAGCGACTTGAAAATTGAAGTCGATCTATATTATGACCATTTATTGTTTGGTATTAAACGAAGAAAAAGAGCAGAATCATATGAATGAAACACACACGAATTGTTGTTCGTGGCAAATAAGGGGAAAAACTGTCACTTTTACACAGATGTCGTTATCTCCGGACTTTTTTTTTGTTCGTTGACTGAAAGATACACCTTAGTATTGCACTGCAAGGTTTCAGTCAGATGATAGAAGCAAAATGTGAAAGAGACAAATCTATGTAAAAATTGAATGATTCTGTTACACGTCTCTATTTCACTCGCTCACACTCGCTCTCTTTACTTCGTTGGTTGGTTTGACTCCAATGTGTACGGATGTTGTTTTGAGTGTGGTATCTTTTTGAATTGTCTGTTTGTGTTGTTCGTATATAAATATATGAAATCTCGTGTTGGAACACAACGACGACACACAGCACACACAGCTCAAGAGAGTGAATAAAAATCTTTCTGTATGTTTGTTGAAATGTATTTGTTGTTTTTTTTTATTGTTCTCGTTGCCACTGATGTGTTAAAATATCTGTCCTCCATATTGCAAAATAGTGTAGTAATTTTATATTAGCCTCTTACATATATATTTTTTCCGTGCGTGTTATAATAACGAAGCGTAGTCAGCAGTGTGATCTAAAAGTCGAAAAGTCTTCAAATTTTTGTCGTTGGTCGCGTTAAAAATATACACACATAAGTATTTTTGTGCAACAACAACAAATGCTCTACCCATATATATAAAATATATTTTTTTATATACACCAAGTCAAATCGAATCATCGCTAAACGAAATTCAAATACCGACGTCTGTCTATTGTCGACACTGGCAAAGAATCTATCAAAATCGTCAAGCAAGTAAATTTCCGAAAAGAGACCTCTTTTTTATAAGAAATTATTTAAACCACTAATTCGCACATTATTTTAATTAAAAACAAATTTATCATTTTATACGTCGATTCGGTTTAACAATTTTGCATTTGTGTGCCTTGAAAGAATTTACGATAAAACGAAATCATATATATAGATATATAAAAAAAAAAATTGGTTTGAGAATTTGTCGGTACGTTGTTCTTGTATACATTAAAAAATTGTGGTTATTTTGTGCAATTCTCTCTTTGACACATCAAGTGATTTTGCTCTTCTATACAGTGAAATTGGTGTATTTTCAATTTGCTAGTGTAAAAACCGACTTACGGTAACAAGAAATTTTTTTATCACACCATCAAAAAACCAATCACGACAAACAAAAACAAATTATGTGTTAAAAAATGGAAAGACAAAAAAAATGTGAACGGTTTGCATTGAAATTTAATGATGAGGATGATGAAATCAATCGAACTGAATTAGTTTTATCTTCTGGTTGAATCAATTGAAATGAAGGAACAAATTTATATGCGAACGCATGTAATAATTCACTATGAAGTGCAGGTTCACACCACATCATGCAATGATTGAGAGAGAGAAAGAGTGAGAGGGGCTATTTATCAGCGCTATTTCTCTTCTTCTTCTCGACTTCTTTTTTTTTTTTGAATAGAAATCGACTTATTTTTAATCGAATGCAAATTAATTTTATCTCCGCATCTCATGCATTCGTGAAATTTTGGTCAGAAGAGAGAAAATATAATTTAGATGGACGACAACGATGATGATTATTTTTCGAATTAAGTTATGAATCTTGGTACTCCGATTGCACTCACACACCAACTTCTAGAGAATACTTCTCAAGTGGAATTAGTAATAATAAGTTGTAGTAGCAGACTTTTCTATTCAATGAAATTTGATGGTCTAAAATTGTGTTTCCATTTCGTTGTGAAAATGACAAAAAAAAATGTCGATCTTTCGAATCTGCTTCTCTTCACATAAACACATAGTTTTTTTTATGAACAACATGCAATTTTCATCTATTCGGCAACTCGTCAATATTGTTTTTGTTGTAGGTCTTTTTTATTTGATTCGGTCGTGTGTGTCGAGAAACGAAAGACAGTTGAGCAAAGACAGCAGTAGGCAAAGCACATTGTTTCACCCAAAACGTGAAGTACACATACACAACTCTCTGTTGCTATTGCTATTTGCATTGTTGTTGTTGTTGCTGCTGCTGCTGCTACTACTACTACTGCTGTTGAACTAAGTTTGGTGTGTGAGCATTCGCATCGCGTTTTTTTTTGACGTTGAAAAATAGCAACGAGGTGCGATAATACTGGAATTTTTTGTCAGCTCCAAGAATCTTTGAAAACCAAAACCATTGTTTGATTTTACTTCAATCCATTTATTTGAATAAAAAAAGCATAATTTGATGGTTTGTTGAAAAAATAATAACAACAAATCGAAATCAGTCAGTTGTCAAACGTGCATAATACCACCCCACGAGCTACGAGAGTACATACAAAAAATGTGATTGCTTATGTTGTCATTCATTATTTAGAGAAACGCATACAAAGCGACCGTGAGGCAGAAGCGCAAAAAAAATTGGTCAAATTTTAATTTAACAAATTAAATCAATGAATTTATGTATGACATTTAATCAAATAATCGATTTGATGAGAGGTGAACTTTTGACACTGAATCAAAAAAAAAAAATTCAGTAAAATGTGACAAGTGATTTTGAAGGCAGTAGGGAAAATTTTGTGTGTGTGTGTGTGTGTGTGCCTTGAAAATGTTTGTAGCGCACAGTCTGATATATTCAATTTTTAAAATACCCCTATCCATTATCAAAAATGTAGATTGCGTGAAAAAGTAATTTTATTTTTTTTCCTTTTTGTTTCGATGAAATCATATTTTCAGAGCATTCAACTGACAATTTCAACTGAAAAGCAAAGAAATTTAGTGAAAAAAGTAAACGAGAGAAAGAGAGAGAGTAAAAAGTGTACTGATAACAATCAAAATGAGCGATTCAATCAAGTTTGGTCCAGAGTGGTTGAGAAATAGCATGTCAAATGACACGGGCGGTTTGTCGTCATCGACTGGTATGGGCAGTGGAGGAGGCCTATCATATAACAGTCGTACGTATCATCGAGCGTATAATCAAATGCACATAGTAAAACATCAAAAAACTAATATCTATTTTCTCTATTGATTTTGTCTATTTTCGTATTGCTTTTTGTGCGGTGGTCTCTTCATTTAAATATGGTTTGGGATAAATTGGTGGTGAACAGAAAGTACAAGATTTCCGTTAGCTGAATATCGATACGGGAGAGAGGAAATGCTGTCGTTATATGATAAAAATTTTAAAATACCAGAACTACTGCCAAAATACAACAAGCTATACATTGAAAAAATGCAGTGTCCATTGGCCTTATTGCCACCATCAGCCGACGAAGAAGCGGTTAGTTCAAAAGCACTTCTTTCTTATCCATTGTACAATAAATTAAATATTTGTGTATGTTTTCTCATCTCCAGCCACGAGGATTAACGCCAATTGGTGGTTTGTCGGGCGATCGAAGCGCTTTAGGTTTAACAAATAGTTCAAGTGGTAGTGCTTTGGGCGGTATGAGCAGTACGCTTGGAATGTCGGGCCGTGGAATACGTGGCACCTCAATAGATCGTGGCAGAGGCCGTGCATCAAGAGGCGGTCTATATCATCCATCACTCGGTAGCTATCAGCGATCGGGTTTCATGTACGATGAAGACTCACGTGGAATTGGTGCGAGAGGCGAACGCTCTTGGTCGGAACGAAATGGCAGCGAAACGGATTGGAATGCGACAGCAAACGGAAGTCCAAGCCCAAGAAAAGATTTCACCTCACTGAGATCGGGCAGTTCGGGTGAAAGTTGGCGACGCAGTCGAGTTGAAGACGACGGTTTGTTCTTTTTTATGATTTTAATAAACCATTTTGTACGGGGATTTGCCGTTTTTTACAATAATTAATATGTAATTATCGATTCCGACAGGGACAATTTTGAATGGAACGGCAAACGAGGGTTGGCGAACGTCTACATCATCTTCAAGTAATAGCATGTACAAGTGGCGTAAGTCTATTCAATATAGACACATTCCATTTTTATCCTACTTATATGAGTACATTATAGTGGAAAAAATCTATTGAATTTGACGTTTATATCGAAAATGACCACACATTTTTATAAATCGATCTGAAGGCATCACTAATCAAACTGTTTGTTTCTATCTGTTTGCAGCTGTTCGTTCAACAAGTTGGCGAGGTGGTGAAAATGATCCGGGCTCAAGTGCAGGTGGATTTAGTTCGGATTCAAGTGGACCACCTAGATTAGAGCGTTCAAAATCAACACAAGGTAGTTTGCAGAGTCGAGAACATCCGCCAGATTCTTCAAATCATCCGGGTTCAGGAATAAATCGGCGATTTGGCCTGAATGCGTCATGGGACGAAGACAATCTACCCGAATGGTAGGCAATTGAACAATTGAAAAAAGAAAAGAAGAAGAAACTTGATCAATAATTAAATTAAATAATTAATCACGTTTTTCTAGGGCAATGGATGAGCCCATCGAAGGCGGTGGTAGTTTTGATGCGACTGGCGCATTTCTGGGCGCTGATGATAAAAATATGGGCGAAAAACAGAAAATATCGGATACATTGCAACCAACTTCACAACCGAATGAAAAAGGTGATCAAAAATCAATGGAACCAGCATGTGACAATAAAGCGACTGATAAACATGGGAAAAATGCTGCCGAAATTATGCGCACAAAAGAAAAATTGGAAACGTCAAATTCAAATGCTCTCGATGATCTGCCGAATGAGTCGTTTAAGAAGGATGACAGTCTTATAATCGCAAAAGAAAAAGAACTGAATCCAAACGAATCGGAGGTCAAGCCAATAAATGATGAGAAAACATCGTTGAATAATCAGCAGCAGGTGACATCGATGAGTGTTGGTTCATCATACAAAAATACCTCAACATACATTGCGTCTGAGAAACGTGAAGCAGTGCCTAAATCGATTGGCATCACGGATAAAACGAATGTAGTTTCGGATTCAACGCCAATCGATCGACTGCAAGAGGTGGCCGAAGATATTGAAAAACTAATCATGGACGATGACCAATCGTGTAATGAAAGCGATAATGAAGCACTATTGACGTCATCACATATACATGCTCGCGATGCACCCAAGCATCCGATTGTGAATGATGTATTAAATGAAAAAACGAAAGAAACCGATCGATGGTTCTATCGTGATCCACAAGGTAAGGTGCAAGGACCGTTCACCGCAACCGAAATGCTTGAATGGTATCGAGCCGGTTACTTTGATGAAACATTGAATGTACGACGCGTATGTGATCCACAATTCATTGAACTTGGCGATTTGCTGAAAGCATGCAGCGGTTCAATTCCATTTATATCAATGCCGGCACCGCCGCCAATCATCCCACCATTGTTACAAAGTCAAGCCAACGAAATCAATTTAAGCACCGCATCAAGTGTCAAACCATCAACACCAATCAAACCATTAGCCAATCCATTAGTTCATACGGGCAAACTGCCACCACCCACATCTGCCAATAATCCACCCTTTTTCGACATTTTGCCAACGCAAAATTTCCTTGGTCTTATGAATCCGCCGGCAAATGAATTTCGTAAGTTGATTTCATTCGCTTTTTAAATTGTCGCCTTAAAAGATGTGCCAAATTGATATTTATGTTTTGTTTTTCAAATAGTCTTATCGAATTCACTGCCTAAGCATCCGAATTCGGCCATACCAACATTGCCGAACCCATTGAGCAAACAAACACATCTGAAAAATCAACATCAAACCCAATCATTGCAACATCTTTTAAGCCAACACAAAAATGATTTCAATCCATCCGATTCGGTTGATCCGATGCATCACATGTTAAATTCCATAAATCATCAACAAATCTCACCACCAGTTGGAATTCTACCGCAAGTACCGACAATTCCGCCACAAACTACCACACAAAACAGTCCATTCCAAACTATGTTGATGCAGATTCGAATGCATAATCAACAGCAACATTTGCAACAGGTAACTTATATCTTCGCTCGTTTTACATAACTCACTTTCACGACATAAATGACAATTTTGTGACTCCTAAATAAAAAAAAAAACGTCATTTGATTCAATTTGGTTTGAATTTCTAGTTAAAATGAAATTTAAAATTTAAATAAAATCCATTTCTCTTCACTATCTAGCAAATTCAACAACATCATCAACAATCACTCATAATGAATGCGATGAATTCACCGTCGTTGCCGTTGCCTCATCATTCCATCGACGAGACACAGCATCAACATCAACCGGCTGGTATTTGGGATTTACCAATTCCACCAGCCAATGTTAGTGCGCCCCCAGTTGGTAAGAGTTATTGAAATGCCTGCATGTTAATTTAATTGTGTTCATTCATTTAATTCTCATCCTATTATCCTATTATAGTGCCAAGTTCATCGATGAAAACTGAAATGCAAATCATCGAACAATTTAAATTCGAGAATCAATCTGCTCAACAACTAGATCAATGGAAGAAACAGCATCAAGCATTACATCAACCACCACCACAACAAATGCCCCACCATCAAGATGTTCAACAGGTAAATGTTCAGCGAATTTTCCATGAGTTTCCATATGTGACAGACTCGACATGAAATTCACATCTAAAATGCTATATTTTATGTAAATAGATAACACCGTCGTCGCTAGTACTTGATAATACCCCGTCTGAATTATTGCAACAAACTGACATCTTCCGAACGAAGAACGAAAATATCAAAGAACATGAAGCAAATCGTGTAACGGCAAAACAAGCCCAGGCTAAAATCGATACATCAACCGGTGTAAAACAACCGACATCGGACCAACTAAAATCCAATCTCATTAAAATCAATCGAAATGCACTTGAAAATGATGAGAAGCAAGTGGATAAGATCGATACAAAAGCAAATATTAAGAAACCAGCCACAACTGTCGTTGCAAATGTCACAAAACCATTGGTGAATGAGACAAAGGTTCAACAAAAACCAACAAGCATTTTGAGTTCAAGCGATGTTGCTAACAAAGCTTATAATAACATCAATGTAATAAATGCGACAGCAGCGCCAAAGAGTTCAGTGAAAGAGAGTACAAAGAAAAAGTCGAAGGAAAAGGACCAAAAAGTCGCCGAAGAAAAGCGACGACAACAGGAAGAAGAGGAGGAAAGAAAACGACTTGAACTGATTGCCGCTCAACGCAAAGCAAAATTAGTTGATCAAAATGCCATTCGCCCCGAACAACCCAAACGTAACAATTTGGCTGCATCTGTCGGTAAGTTGAATATTAGTGCGATTGCCATATATCGAAAAAATAAAATCAAATCATACTTTCAGCACCTTGGTCAAACATAACGGATAATGCTAGTACAATGGCATCTGCGTCACCGCTCACACTGGCTGAAATTCAAAAGGCCGAACGTGAACGACGTTCCGAATTGTATCGCATTGAACAAGCGCAACAGCAAAATCAAGCAATTATGGAACAACAGCAACAAAAGGAGGTACTCAAATGGAAGCTGAAACCGCAACAAAACCAAGCAAAGTCATTGGCCGAAATTCAGGCGGAAGAGAGCAAGGCTAGACAAACCATTCAACAAATTTCGGCGGCAAATGTAAGATGATTACATTTTGGATGAATTTTTAAAATGTTTAAATGTTTTTTTTTTCTTTTTCAGGCGGCACAGCAAAAGCAACAAAATGCCAAGAAAGAGGAAAAATGGGCATCAGTGTCTCAGTGGTCAATGATTTGGGGTAATGATGGGGCAACGATGGCATCAAGTAACGGCAGTGCCAATTGCTTCTGGGAGGAACCAGCCAAGGTACCACCACCACCACCACCGTCAACAAAACCAAATATTCAACAAAATGGCACTGGCAAACCGTTGGCCAAGAGTCAAACAGTATCAAATATGCAAACGATTGCAAATAATCCGAAAGCCAATCAAAATGCATCCAAAACCAATACGACAATATCGAAAACCAATTCGAGCAGCAACATCACAACCGCTGCCAATTCAACTCCAAACAATAGCAACAAGAAAGCTAAAGGCAGCAATGCAAATTCGAAAAAAGGTATGTTTATTTGTATTTAAAAGAATACAATGGACAGCACTAATGTGCATTAATTCATTTCAGATGGAGATGATGAGTTTGGTGCTTGGTGCGCTAAGGCACTTGCAGCCCATAATGATTATATTGATGGTGAGTTTTAAAATGAAATAAAATCAAAACATTATTCACCATCGCACGCTTTAAAATGCTAATACAATTTGGTGTTTCGTTGAAAAAAAAATACAGTGCCAACATTTGTGTCTTTTTTGCGTGACATTGAGTCACCGTTTGAGGTCAAGGACTACATTCGGATGTATTTAGGTAAATCGCTTGAAAATTGTGCATGGAAAAAGTTCAATGTTATGCTAAAACCTATCTTTAAATTGTGATTCACACAGGTGAAACAAAGGAATGCGGTGAATTTGCAAAACATTTCCTCGAACGTCGCAGCAAATATAAGAATCAACAACGTGCCGCCAATGCACACATTGATGATATGTCATCTCCAGCACCGGCTTTAACACCTGGCTTAACGTCAGCTAGTGATGGTCAAGAGGCCAAGGTTAGTGTTTTTATTCAATTCCGTGATTTTGTCGTTGATTGCATAGTTGACCACATAATAAAATAATATTGTCTTCCTCTCTATTTCTTTTTTTTTTATTTATATTCCGTTCAACTTGAATTAGAGCAAGGCAAAAAAGGACAAAAAGAAAAGCAAAATGACAAAGCTTGATTCGCGAATTTTGGGTTTCTCAGTAACATCGGCGGAGGATCGATTGAATGTTGGTGCACGAGATTATGGTGGTGCACGTGATGGACCATAAACGAAACGTTGTCACATATATAACAACAGCAAAACACAATATTTACACCATTCACAACTGATGATAATAAAAATGGAAAACAGACAAAATGACATTTTCAAATGATGAAACAAACAAATTATGAATTTACAGTAAAAACAAAGCGAAAAAAGAACAACAACAGAGCAGCCGCAATTTCAAATCATTGGAATTCTTTTTCATTTTAAAAACATTTTCCTTCATTTTATTTCCGTTTGTTTTAATAAAAAAGAACTAACTGCATGGGTTAAAGAAAAGAAGTAGAAACATTTAAAAAGTTGGCATTTTATGTGAAAGAAAAATCAACACGACAGCCAATTCTTGTAAAACAAAAATTGATTTCCCAATGTTAAAATAAAATCTATTATTCATTCATTTTTTTTTTTACTTTAAGACACAGTGAAAACAAATTAGAAATATTTGTAAATACAAGAATTTGAAGAAAAAAAAAAGTCAAACAATGAAAGTTATTGATAAAAAAAATATATATAAAAATTCTTTTTGATTTTTTCTGCTGACCCCTTTGAAGTACATTCTTATTTAATAGAGCTCAGCTCTAACGGAATATGACACTTTTTTTGTAGAATTCGTGTGTCACACTCACTGGAGCACTACAATGTGCATTTTGAATGATTCATTCTTTCGTATCTGTCTTGAATTCTCACGTAATCGGCTAATTTTAGTTGAAATTGTGTCGACGCAACAAATCATTTTTATTCAAAAAATTATTTGCTGTTCTGTACAATTATACATATACATGTGTATGTTAGACTATACATGTGTATATGTTTCATGGCTACTCATTTACACGCACGTGTGTTTTCAATGTGACACATGGTTTTGGCATTTGTTTAGTAGAAACGTCAAATGCACACCATCACCAAAAAAAAAGAGAAACAATCAAATATGTCCGAACTACAGAATATTTTCCAAAATAAACAATTTAAATGCAGGTAATTGGTTGTTGGGGATATTGTTTTGCAATTATTTTCTGCTAAAGATTTTAATAAAAATGTCTCGTATAAATTTAGTGTGAGTTCCGTACTGAATAAGGATGTTAAACAATACGGAAAACCGTTTATGTTTGATGGGCTAGAAGACACAGCTTGGTATTCCGATCAGGTAGCAGATTGATGTTTTTCTTTTTTTTTTTTTTTCATTTCGAATGACGTAAAAATGTAATTTAAAAAAAATAATTCATACTATTCTCAAACTATAGGGTCTACCACAAAGCATAAATATTGTGTTCAACGAACCGCTTGAATCATTGAATTTGAGTTTGTGTCAGCTGAAGATAAAGTTTCAAGGCGGTTTTGTCGGAAATGTTATGACCGTGTCACTGGATGATATCAATAGTCAAAATATTTATAAAAAATCTTTCTATCCAGATGATATAAACGATTTGCAAACATTTACACTTGATGCCAACACAAATGGAAAATCACTAGGAAATGTTAGAAAATTATCGATTGTATTTGAAAAAAGTTCCGACTTTTTCGGTCGTATTATCATCTACAGCCTAGAATTAATGACATAAATGACTGACTATACCCCTTTATAAACCCTCCATGGAAGAATAAGAAAAAGAAAAACGAAGAAGAAAACGAATAATAAAATGAAAAACTACATGCTTTGTACAATACATAAAGTGATTCTAAAATTTGTTTTTATTTTATGTATATATATATTTGTTTTAAATTGTTTTTGAATCAAATTTCTGTTTTAAATACATATATTTAAATGGCATTGAAATTCAGTTCTAAGAAACATTAACATTAGTGTTTTTATGCATTGAGGTTGCCAGTCTCAATGTTGATTTTCAACAGTTTTCCTCTAAAAGCCACGGGTGATCTAGGCTATAAATAGAAAAAAAAACAACAACAAAAAGCAATACAATGTATGAAAAACGAAAGATATGAATGACGACGAAAAAAATTAATGAAAAATAGATTTTTTCAACCTACCATTGTGATGCCGTTGCCCTAGCATTTGGATCGAAATTGAGCATCGGTTCCAAAAAATCAGTGAATTCCCTCGCATCAAATGAATTCCAATTGTATTTATCAACAAGAACACTGTATAGATCCCATGGTTTCAATTTCGTTATATTTCGTAGATTGCCTACGGAATGATTGTGGGTCCGGGTGTTAAAAATGTAAATCGAGTATGTTAAAAATAGAGAAATGCTTCTAAAAATAGAAAAAAAGACTATGACAAAAGCCAATGTACCGTAGCTATTAAAATATTTGTGTCCATATTTGCCCTGAAAGATGATGTGTGGTGGAATGTTGCCTAACAGCTCGATAATATGCGCCAGATGGTCTTCGTCACGTGAATATTCATCGGATCCGCGTGGATCGAATAGATAATCACCAGTGAGCAGTTCGAATGCTAAGCATGCTGTACTCCAAATATCAGCCGTATAATTGTATTCAGAGCCCAAAAGGACTTCAATCGATCGATATTGACGCGTTTGAATATCTTCGGTGAAGTGATGATCCTATCATCCGGCAAAAATAAAATGTGAATACTTGACACTTGTGTATGCAATAAATAATATAAATGACTTACATTATAGCAAGCGTTACCCAGATCGGCAATTTTAACGCAAATATCCGTATCACCAATTAATTCAAGTAAATTTGGATCGCATTCAATATTTAAATTGACACCGCTTGCCAATGATGATTCTTGTTTTCCATGTTGTGATTGTTGGCTATTTTTTCGTTCCATTTTGTAGCGTTTGATGTGCACTCCACCGCCACTGATAGCGAGGGCGGCGGTGCTGGCCGATGCGTTTGGCATATACCTTTCAATCAAATCAATTTTATCCGATTGAATGCTTAAACTATCAATAGAATTTGTATCAAAATCATTTTTGGAAGATAAATCAGCTGCTGGCAAACTATCGTAGTTCGAAAAGCTCGATATATCCGGATCAGAAAAATCACGATCATACTTTTGTTTCGTGCTTGCGCTGACTGCATACGGCCAAATTAATACGTTTATTTGTCGTTTTTTTAATGGTGAAAACAAAAGAAAGATGCGACATTGAATTTGCGCCAATTGTCCAAATAGAGAAAAAATGAAATCTAAAAATTACCATAAGACACGGGAAGTTTGATGTTTCGTTCTTTTAAGGCTGTTATTTCATTGTCAATTTGTCGATTGATTTCATTTGGATTACTGGGACACAATAAAATATTTTCCGGTTTAATGTCAGTATGGATAATGTCGCATTTGGCGTGCAGATAATATAATCCTTGTAAAACCTATGCGCGAACGTCAAATAAATGTTTTCATTTGAATTTCATTTGGTTTTCAATATTAATTGTTTGACGCAAACACAGTTGCGTCAGCTTAGTCATTTACCTGTCTAATAATGGATTTAACCATAATAATGGGTAATCCTTGAAAATTATTTTTAACAATAAGCTTGTATAAGCTACAGCCAAGAGCCTCAAACACTAGGCATGTGTGCACACCATTCACTCCACGAATCGTGAAATGATTTAGAAGACGAACAATTTTCTCACAGTACGGGTGCTGCGATTCATTTTGTCTAATTGCCTCCAGTAATCGAATTTCATCGGCCGCCGTTTCCGTATAATGTTGAGCACTTTTAATCACTTTCAACGCAACATAATTATCTTTCCTAGAAGAGGTTTTGATACGTTAATTTGTTTTTAATTGACGGAGCTGATTTGCTTGTGAAGGAGTTAGGAATTTGAAAAAAAAAAAAACTCACAAAATCTCACGACACAGCCAAACAGTTGAAAAGTGCCCCCAACCAAGCTTACGGACGACACGATATCGATCGTCAAAAACATCACCAATAACCACAGGATGATAACCACCGCGACAATATTGGGTGTCATCCTCTTGCTCCTCATCGGATCCATATAAACTACAATTCTCTGATTCGGGCACAATGCCCACTATTGCTCGAACACTCGGAAATGTTGAGGCAAATGAACGTGGCTCGGATCTATTCAATCAAAATAATTGATAATTAAAGATGGAAAAATTTAATACAAAAAAAAAATCTGTTGAAAATAATTATCGAAAAAAGTGTCAAAATACAATATAAAATATGAAATACTTACAGACTAACAAAAGTTCCACGAAGAACTGGCATATCTTGGCGTCGACTGAGCGGTGGTGAGATGGAAAGTGACAGAAATCGATTCTGAGCTGATAGCAATGGGTTGCGTGTATTGCCGCTGCTTCTGCTGACACTTTGTGCGATTTCTTTGCGCGCAAATTCGCTGTTGGCATCATTCCAACTATCGTTCAATGTGGACGATGTTGTTGTTGTGGCCGTTGTATAAGTGGCAGTGTTGTAACTCAGTATATCGTCAATATTTTGAATGCGATTCAACTGTGAAAAATCTTTGGTAAGGAAGTCAGGTGTGGTTGGTTTAATGGCCGTTGTTGGAATTGAAATCGTTTCAATTTTTGTTGATGGAAGCAAAACAGCATCGCTATTGTAATCGCCAAATCGAAATGATGTTACGGTATTCGCACTTTGTGGTGTGCATAGAACATCATCGGTGTCAACAGATCGATTGTATTGTATATTATTATCATTTTTGGCCAGCATATAATCTCGATATGGGCTATTGTATTCGGTGTATGCTGGCATCGACAATATATTGTCATTCGTTTCATTTTCATTCAAATTATCCAGATCTGTTGATTTTTCAATGATTAATTTATCAAGATCATTTGCAGTATACGTGCCATCCGTGTTTGATGGCGTTAGCAACGTTGTTTTCAAGCTGCTAAGGCTATTCAATTTCGATGGTGACAAATAGCTGTGATTATTGTGACTGATTTTCATTTGTTACCACTGTATGGTTTGTCCGTTGGTTTTGCTTTGTTTTTTTTTTCTTCGCCTTCTTCTATTTTATTACGCGCAAATATTAGTCAAAAGAGCAAAATGTCAATCAATGACTGATTCATTGGTTTAATGCTGCATCGAATTGTAGTTCTTTTTTTCGTCTTCTGTCAATATTTTAACACCAAAAAAACAACTCCTGTATAAAACATTTATAATGTGGATGAAGTGAACTCAAGTTGTATTCCATTGGCTTCTTTTCGTTTACTATACAATTATCGATTTTATATTTTATTTCGACAAATGGTTTTTTTTTCTTCACGAACCACCAACCATTTAAAGCGTCAGCTTGATATGATTTTTGATGATGTTTAATTTGATTGTAGTAAAAAGAAGTCTTTTAAGTTTCAGTTTTTGCCCTTTTTTTCCACTTTGGCAATGTTTCGCTTTTTAAAATAGTAGAAATGTAAAAACACAATGAATTACATCGATCAGCAGTAAAATGATGTATTCAAGTCAAAGAAAGTCGAATTACGTGCTTAATGTTTAGGGTTTCAACGATGTTGAATAAAAAATGGTGATTGTATCATAGTTTATGCGATTATTTATATCTCAGCTGACTTTGATAAAGTTCACAATTGAACCACATCACTCTCTGTTCTCTATTTGTATTTTGTTTTCTTCATTCCACTTCCACGATGGCACAATATGCATAATACTTTGTATTATTCATGTCATCACAATGTTTCGTGTGTTTCACACTGTGTTTGTTTTTATTGTTGTTGGTTTGAGCTTATTTGCGACGGATATTTCTCGATTCACCACTCTTTCTATCTCCTCCAATTCAAGCATGAAATTGTCAAAAATTCTATCCGCATTTGAACGATTGAAAAAAAAAGAAACAAAATCCTGCGTCGAATCGTTTGATATATATATATAAATAAAAAGAAATGACGATACAAATGGGTTTTTCTTGTTTTTTTGTTAAATGTATAAAAGTGGCAAACAGCACTGTTACATCAATCAATTTCGCTGTATCAAATTCGTTATTTACAATTGTTGCCGAATGGACGAACTAACTAAAAAAAATTCAGCTTTTTTGTATTATTAAATCACACCAAACAACAACAAATAGTAAGTGAACACAAACACACACTCACACATCTTTCTCATTCTTTTGCTGAAATCATTCTCGTTCTATCTCTGTCTTTGATTTTTAGTCCAACTAATTTTTCATTTCAGCAAATCTATACATATGTGTATAGTGTGCGTGAAAATTTCGTTCGCTCGATAGCAATAGATTCAGAAATTTTGTTCGAAAAGCTCCAGCAATATGTTTTGTATACTATCACAACACCAATGTTTTCAATTCTGTATATCTCATCGTTCAAGTTTTGTTGACTTCATTCACCATTTATGCATGACACTGTTAATAAACATACAAATACCTGCATACGCAATTTCGAGCTTGCGCCTTTCAACATTCATGGATCTGCGAAAAACAACAACAACAACTATTTTCCATCATTCCCCATATCCCTGTTTATAGCCGTTGTAGTGCTTTTTTCGTTAGACAAGTACTTCAGAAGAAAGTTTCAACACTCAAAAGAAACTATTTGATGCTCATTCTTACAGTCATTCGATCAAGCATTCGTTACAGGGAGCAGTCGATACAGGATACTCTCACATTTTGACTGCATTAATTCAATTGAGAAATAAAAAAAAAATCTTTCAAAAACACCACCATTTCTCCATTAACACTCTTCCAGCTCAAGAAGGAAGCCAATGAAGCTGAATAGATCGATAGCGGCTATTTTATGAATTTTAAGGTTTGGTCCAATTCTATTTGATGGGATCAACAAAAAAAAATATATCGATTTCCTTAGCTTTCGATTTGCGAGAGAAAATCATAAAAATTTAGAAATTTTCATTATACTCGAATAAATTTTTTTTATGCAATCAGAAAGTTAAAAAAAAAGACATTTTTTTTATTTTGATTTTTAGCATTTTTAACAAAAATACTGGATTTGTTTATTATTTGAAATAAGAATACATTTATCTTTTCATATTGTATATGGTTCTCTGTATTATTTTCTTTTCGTTCGTTCAATTCGTTCGATAGTTTTTTCATCTGAATTCCACAGTCATAAATTTCATCTTGATCAATAGTTTTTGTTAATTTTTATATGTTTGTTAGAACTGTTTGCTGTTCGTTATTCCATCACAAAATGATATCAAGAAATTGAATATCTTAAGAAAAAACAAAACAAATATAAATCACGAAACTAATTGATTAAAAGCGAACATTGAATTGCTGTATGCATATATTGAGCGGCACGATAGTGCATCTTCCGTGTTTGACTACAAAGTAGACACGGTCAATGCTCGTGTCATAAAAAATACTTTTTGTTCTCTCTTCCTTATATTCTAAAAAATATATAAATTCATTTATTACTTAAGATTTAATTAAATCGCATCTTAGAATTGTCCGGAATGTCAGTTGAATTCGCCGAAAAAAAGAATCAAAATAAATCATTACGACTTGTTGTTATAGCTGACAAAATCCAAATGCTCAATTTCAGCAATTGATCGATTCTATTAAGTATTTAGCCAAATATTTGAATTTGTTTTTTTTTCTACTAAATTGAGATTTTTTTTCTTTTTCCATGTTTTCACAATCACTTATGAATTTACTTAAAGAGAAATTAATTTATTTTTGAGAAATTTTTTCCGGTATGGTGAAAATGGAATAAAAATGAAAAAAGAAACAATTGCTGCATTTCAATTGATGGAACAAAAAAAAATTTGACGTAAAATTAACGACTTCCAAATGGATATTTTTTTTATATGAATGGCTTCATTTCGCATAGAAATGCAATCTCATAATTGGTGATTGAGATTGAGTGTTTGCATCGTTTTTTCAGTGTTAGCATTCAAAAACACGCGAATGAAATGATAACGAAAGTAAGTTTTGAGTGCATTTTGAATGACGTGAACACAAAAAATAAACGTGTGGTTTCGTGCCCATTTTCTGAGTGCGTGATTTTTTAGTTTTGTTAGCAAGTAGGCAGCGGCAACATATCGTTATTGAAACGAAGTCAAAATGATTACTAGTTTTAATGCGAATAATCACAAAAACTCATATTTTCGCTGAATATGTGCTTTCGGTTTCACTTGCGTTTCACTTTCAAATGAATAAACTTTTCGTTTGGGTTATTATTGAAAAAAAAGAGTCTACTTAATTATTTGTTTATATTATACTCTCACATTTTGTATGTATGAGTTGTGATCTTTTTTTTACTGAAGACTGATAGACATTTCATATTTTTTTAATTTTCTATATCGTTGATGTGGCAAATTAAGAAAGTAAGTCTCTAACTTCTTGTTTTTCGGCCGCGTCTATTAGGCTAGTACCTGAATTAAATAAAAAATGAATAAATTTAAAAAAAACAAATAACACAAAAGTTTTAATTCCAATTTACATACCATCGGGAGTAGTAATACTTTTATCAGCTCCATTTTCCAACAAGATTCGAACACAATTGGTATGGCCTTCCCAAGTTGCTGCCAATATTGGAGTGATACCATGTTTATCACGGGTCTATTATAAAAAAGGTATTATTCAATAGAGGCACACTTACACGAGACGCATGGATGAATAAAAAACACCGAGAGAAAAAATATAAATGAATACTCACGTTGACGTCGGCCCCTTTGTTAATCAAATATCGCAGCACATCACTTTGGCCATAGTCGGCCGCATAATGAATGGGAGCTCGTGTTGTAATCTGTTGATTCACGTTGAAACCATTCTGCTCGATGAGCTCCTTTACTTGATCCAAATCGCCGTTTTTAATCGCCCATATGATACTGTCATCGATTTGTGCCATTTTTTTCTCTTCCTTTTTACCTTATTTTGCGTTGTTGTTATGGTTTGGAGTTGGTCACCGCTGTTTTTTTTATAAAATACCACACGAATATTATGCCGGTTTCGACGCGTACTGTTTTTGCCTATTCGATATAATTACAATAGCATTAATGCACTTTCTCGAAAGATCGAAATATTGTGTGTGTATTTTTTGTATTTCGTTTCGATTTTTTTTTTGCTTCCGACTTTACAAACACTTGCAAATTGCTCTGTAAAGTCTCTTTCGCTCTCTTTTCGGTTTTGTGCAATGCCGATACTCTTTTTTTTTTTTGCTTCAGTGATACAACTTATAATCAATTTTCTATGATTAAAGACGATTAAACACTCGAAATATTTATTCACAAACGATTCCGGATAACACACACGTATATCGTTGTAAAACTGTCTAGACTATTGACAACTCTCTCTATCTCTTTCCCATGAAATTTGTCGATTTTTCAATGTTTTGCCAATTTCTCTGTTGCATATAATTGTTAAGTATCACCGTTTCGTTTTGAGAATGACGATTGAATGGAACGATGTTATTTTTGTGCGGAAAACACACACTCATATATACAAACATACATACCGTTGTTATCTCACTCTCGCACTGCCATTTACTATTGCTCTTTCGTTCAAAATAAATCAAACTAACAACATACGTTTCGTTATTGTCACGCAATAAAGCTTACGTCAATTAAATTTCCTGCAGTTGCGCTTCAATGCCTATCATTTATTGTATAGTGCGAAAATGGTCAATACTGTTTTTTTTTTTCGTTCAACCAATAAATTTGAAGAAAAAAAAAAGATATGGAGTTTTACACTAAAAGAGAAAAATGCATGCGTTACAGATGTTTTATAGTCTCAATTAGCTGTTCGCCACTTTGACAACGTCTAGAAAGTTCGTGCCACTCACGTGAAATATTGTTAGCATGTGGCGACATCTATTACAATGAAATTGAATTGTTTTTACAATTCGTTGAAAGCTTGTATTGAAATCTGTAAATCTGTAAACCGATCTTTAAAATACTTTTCTTTTAAACTCGATGAATTTGTATCGGAAATTCAAAATTTGATGTGAAATTAAGAAATACCATGCATGGTTAGGCAATATGTAAAAATTTCGTTAAATTTATCTAAAACAAAATTATTTTCCAACCAAAATACGATTTTTTTTTTGTTAAATCAGACCAAATTTCAAACTGACTATAAGCATTCTTGATCGATTAACATTTAATGTAAAATAAATTGCTTCATTGAAATATGTCCACCTTTGGAGATTGTTTGTGTTTATCTGATTTGTTCTTGAATTCATAAAAAAAGGAAACTTTTCTCCAGCAACAAACGCGAATATTTCTGAATTTAAAAAGAAATGTTTGCTAACATCATTATTTCATGATGCTGTGCATATACCGGTAAAATCCTAATTAAATCATTTTGAATCACCAGAAGCGAATTCATGCAACATTTTTCATACTTAGTCAAGTCAAGTTTTTTTTTCGACGAAAAGTTTGTCTGAAGTAGTTTTCTCATGACTGAACAAAAAACTATTTCAGTATCTAACTACTTTAATGATGTTTGATTTTTCAACAAACTCTTTATAACCTTCCTGTTTTGAATATATTCCTCTCATTTTATGAAACTGTCGTTTTTCCCCTCGTATTCATGCAATTCGAATTGAATTCAATTACGAAAGAATTTATTTAATAAATGAAATGCGAATGCTGGAAGTTTATCTTATTTCGATAAATTCCAATGGAATTAAAAAGTTTGTTTTGTCGTTGAAAAAGTCTTCAATATTTTCATGGATTGCTATGTGCATAATGTAAATATTGTTTGGTTTTAAACTTTTTGTTGTTGTTGCTGCTGAAATCAACATTGTCACATTGGCGCTTTAGAAGTTTAAAAAAAACTGGACTTATAAAAAGAAAAACGTGTTCGATTTGCAAAGTGTAAAAAATCAAGCCCGTGGGGAATCAAGTACATTCGAACGATGCATCACATGAAAAACTCCAGTACTTGAGACGAATCGTGTTTTGATTTTATTCGTTGTATGTTTATCATGTGCTAGTTTTTTTTGACAATTTGCTATTTGTAAGTGAGTAGAAAAATGATTGGCAATTGCGTCATGTTCAAATTTTCAACGACGCCACCAATATAGGCGTTGAATATGGTGGTCACAACTTATCATACGGATTCACGTGGGAATCAAAGGTGGTTTTACCAACTCGATACGATAATGGATAGCATTTCGTATGGGAATTCGATGTGTGTCATTTAAATGTGGCCGAAAATTGAAATGGATGATTTTCCACTAAATTTTTTAAAACTTTAAAAAATGTTGCAAAACTTTTCAAAATGATTAAGCAAAAACAAACTGAAAAATAATGTTTATCAGAGGTACTTTTATGTCAAATCAACAAAAATATATAGATAGATAGATAGATATAGGGCTGAAACGAGTACCATTTGGAGGTCAAAAATGGTTTTGATTGGTTTCATATGAATGGTATGGAAATAGGTTTTTCTTTCGTCGTGAGTTGAAATTTTGGTTATTCAAAACTCCGGTTCATCGTCTTCTTCTTTCACTCAAATCCAATTATCCATATTGGTTTACTTCGTGTACATTACGTTTAATTCTTTTTAATGTGATTTTTTTGTTTGCAAAAGGAAAGAGAAGAAAATAGAAAAAACAACTCTGTGACATTGAGACTTTCACAACGAGCAACAAGAATGAGAAAATCAATTTATTCAAGAGTATAGAGTTTCGACTTACTTTCATATTTTTCCAGGCTACATCAATGTTGCTGGTTTTTATGGTGGTCGCAGCACTTTTGTAATCTCATAATTACTCATTTTTACTGTGCTTTGTGTACCTGTAATTGCTGAAATCGTTCATAAATTGCTTTCCTGTTGCAATACGCACACATATAAAAAAAGAGCAATCTTTTGTGTGCATGATTCATTTCTTTCTTTTGCATTGCATCCATTTATTATTTTGTCAAATAATGTTTTTTTTTTCTTTTCCCATTTGTGAATTTGCTAAGCGCATAAAATGTGCATCAATCTAAAAAAAAATAGAGAGCGAGTTGAAGATGAAAAGTATTAAACAATCAACAATTGCACTGATCTTTGCCAAATATTAGAAAGAAGATGGAAAAGAAGAAAAACTCAAATTGTCTCACAGTCCAAACAAAACTACATAACCGATAAACAATATTAATGACCTATCAAAAATATTCTCTTTTGCAAGAAAAAAGAAGAGAAGAAAGAAAATTCTGCTCATCTTCTACTATTTCACTTTTGAAAATCATTTATTGTACAACAAAAGCTTCAGAGAAATTATATTAAACAGTTTTGGCTCTGGTGAAACACAACAATGACTCAACGCATTTCGTCTCTCTGTGCAAAACTATCGAGATTCAATCAGTTTGGTATCTTTTTTTCCCAGCCTTTTACCGGATCGCTTCGGCATTACCAACGACCAATAAATTTTACCCATTGCAAAATTCTATTCAGGTGACTTTACGAAATGATGATCCTTTATCGATTTTTACTCCATTCCATGGTCCGTTTACCTGATCATTCCGTCAATAAATTCAACATTTCTACAATTATTGATTGTGTACCGATCGATACAAAAGACGAGAAAATATATTTGATACAAACTAACAAAAGTTCATTCCAAGTATTGACCAGATGAAATAATATTGCATATCTCGATCGCGCGCCAAAAGCATAAGAGACGAAATGCAGTACATGTGTTGCCCATTATTGCAAATGGCTCAACGGGTTTTCAGCATCATGAACACATTTCGAAATAATGGCTGGTTCGCCTACCATATTGCCATCGAATTGAATGCGTATTTGAACCGACTGCACTCGACAAACAGGGATATAGACACATGAGTGGCGATTGAGTTGCATTTTGTTACGTTATTTTGCACAAGAATGAGAGAAACAAAGATGAAAACGTGTGCACCAGCAGCATGCATTCAAAAGATAAGAAAATCCTCTTAAATCAGCAATAATGGAAGCCGGCAATGACGACGACGACGATGATGATGATGATGACGATTACGAACTGAAGACGAAGAAAAAAAACTAAATTCAAAAACGTCAGAATCGATTTTTATGTGTTTTGTCTTCAAGGAATTTGACCAACTGCTCGAATCTTTAACTCTCTCTCTCTATCTATCTCTATGTCTATGTCTATTGGCCATCACTTTTCTATTGTGTCTATTATTTCATTTTTTTTTCGCCCTTTTCTTGGACACATGCAATTCGGCTTCGTTTTCCGATTTTTCCATTTCACATTTGGTTTGGTGTGCACTCTCCAATTTCAATTTGCTGTTTTTGCCTTTGAAATAACGAAAAAAAAGTTCAGCATTTAAACACATGATTATATTAGAACTGGTTGAGAAATACATTATTACTACTACCTACTGTATGTGTATGTGAAACGGACGACTGACACAAAATTGCGTATATGCGTGTATATGTGTACATTTATCGTCTGTAAACTGACCAGAGAAGGGTGCAAAGGGAGAATTTCCGTTTCATTGGCAACATTTTTGATCGAAATGAAACAAAAAAAAAATGGGAAAAAATGTTTTCGTCCTCTTTATATATTTTAAGCCAATGCGGAACGCTCTGAATTGAATCGAAATCGAAATGAGATCACATAAAGAGTATAACAATAGAAAACTAGCCAAATTTTCCCTCGATTTTTGTTTCGGTCGCTGGCTGTTGATGCGTTCAAGGGGGTCTCTCTCTCTCTCGCATACACTCGTTTCTCAAGCCAAAATGCATCGATGCATTATAGTATAGAAAATTCATAACATTTACGTGAATTTCACGTAACATTTATTCAAATTCGACATTTGTGAATAACTAACCCCTCATCACGCTTGCAGTGCTTCCCGCCATCCATGTTGAAATCAATCAGTCCATTAAAATAACTAATCTTTTATTTCTCTCTGTTCGCACTGAATATACGATGTCTCGCTGTGAATTGCCAAATTCAGAGAAAAGGAGAGCGCATTCAGTGTGGTTATTTGGCGACAGTCGATGACGTCAATTTCAGGTAATGCAATGGGTTTTGATTTCGACTTCAACGGAAAGATATATATGGTTTATCTGAGGCCTCATGATTAGAACTCACAATGTGAAGGTGTTCATTATCTTATGTTTTTTGTCCTTTCCTTCGACGAATGAGAAAAATGTTGAATAGAATATATGGCACACATTTTCATCAATATCAATTGCATTTTAATCAACACAACAATATCCTCTCGTCTATCTCTGGCAACGTACGTTGACCATTTGCTTTTGTTTTTAGATGGGTTTTTTTGTAATCAATGCCTTTTTTTGTCAACATCCTTTTTTTAAACTTAAAGTGCACCAAAATTCTTGCACTAGAATTTTATTGTATGTGTGTGTTTTTTTGCATTGTTACCAAAACTCAATAGGTCTCTTGCTGGGTGTTTGTTCTAAAAAAAGTATCGAACATCAATAAAGTCTGTAACTATTCATTATGATGCTCAGGGTGCATGCTATAAATGTGTGTGCAACGCCACAATGCCAGTGAAAAACAAATAATGAAATTGGACCGAACCAAATCGCCAACAGTCAGTCAGTGGTTGCACAACACGTATCCTTATGTCTGATCGGGTCATTTTTTTGATTTTTTCCTCCTCATGATGAAACGAGACGAATAAAGTAAAGGAACACACAACAATGACCATCCTTTGAATGCTCAACTCTTCTAGTTGCTCGTAAATTTCAAATGTACATTATCGATTTTTTTTTTGGGGGGGGGAAAAATAACAACGACGGAAACAAAGAATAGAT